GCCCTTATTTCTCATGCCAGTAAGGTAATGCTCAAGATCCTGCAAGGAAGACTCCAGCAATACATGGAGAGAGAGTTGCCAGATGTTCAAGCTGGGTTTAGAAAAGGCAGAGGAACCAGAGACCAGATTGCCAATATCCGCTGGATAATGGAGAAAGGCAGGGAGTTTCAGAAAAACATCTATTCTGCTTCATTGACTATTCTAAAGCCTTTGACTGTGTGGATCATAATAAATTGTGGCAAGTTCCTTGGTGGGATGGGCATCCCAAGCCCCCTTCCCTCTCTCCTGAGGAATCTGTACAAGGACCAAGTAGCAACAGTCAGAACTGACCACGGAACAACAGACTGGTTCAAGATTGGGAAAGGCGTCCGGCAAGGCTGCATACTCTCACCCAACCTTTTTAACTTGTATGCAGAACACATCATGCGAGGATGTGCGGGGCTTGATGAATGCAAAGCTGGGGTGAAAATTGCTGGAAGAAACATTAACAACCTCAGATATGCAGATGACACCACTCTGATGGCCAAAAGCGAGGAGGAGCTGAGGAGCCTTCTAATCAAGGTGAAAGAAGAAAGCGCAAAAGTTGGGTTGCAGCTAAACATAAAAAAAACCAAGATTATGGCAACAAGAATGATTGACAACTGGGAAATAGAGGGAGAAAATGTGGAGGCCGTGACAGACTTTGTATTTCTAGGTGCAAAGATGACTGCAGATGCAGACTGTGGCCAGGAAATCAGAAGACGCTTCCTTCTTGGGAGGAGAGCAATGTCCAGTCTCGATAAAATCGTAAAGAGCAGAGACATCACACTGGCAACAAAGATCCATTGCCTAGTCAAAGCCATGGTCTTCCCTGTAGTCACCTACGGATGTGAGAGCTGGACCTTAGGGAAGGCTGAGCAAAGGAAGATCGATGCTTTTGAGCTGTGGTGTTGGAGGAAAGTTCTGAGAGTGCCTTGGACGGCGAGAAGATCCAACCAGTCCATCCTCCAGGAAATAAAGCCTGACTGCTTCATTGGAGGGAAAGATATTAGAGGCAAAGTTGCAGTACTTTGGCCACATAATGAGGAGACAGGAAAGCCTAGAGAAGAAAATTATGCTGGGGAAAGTGGAAGGCAAAAGGAAGAGGGGCCGACCAAGGGCAAGATGGATGGATGGCATCCTTGAAGTGACTGGACTGACCTTGAAGGAGCTGGGGGTGGTATGGCCGACAGGAAGCTCTGGCGTGGGCCGGTCCATGAGGTCATGAAGAGTCGGAGACGACTGAACGAATGAACAACAACAACAGGCTAAAGCAAGCACTTTGAATTGTGCCCGGTAGCAAACTGGCAGCCAGTGGAGCTGACGCAACAGGGGAGTTGTATGCTCCTGTTCGTAACCTGGCTGCTGCACGCTGAACCATTTGAAGCTTCCGAACAGTCTTCAAAAGCAACCCCACGTAGAGCACATTGCAGTAGTGTATATGGGATGTAACCAGAGCGTGAACTACCATGGCCAAGTCAGACTTCCCAAGGTACGGGCGCAGCTGGCACACAAGCTTTAACTGTGCGAATGCTCCCTTGGTCACCGCCAAAACCTGGTGTGTGAAATGAAGACGATTGATGCTAAGCTGAGCCTTGGCAGGTGGAATCATCTGCTTGGCCTCTCTGGTTCTGGGCTCCATCTCTGGCAGTTGAAGGAAAGTGGCTAAGCGGGGAATGCCTCTGCGCCTGCCGGGATTGATCGCCTCCTTCCCAGTTAATAACAAATAAAGCCGCCTGCCTGTGTGAGAGAGGGAAGCCGGGAAGCCTCGCTGCCTCCTTTCTGCAAGGAAGAGATTTATGAAGTCTGGCGGGCAGAGAGCCAGCCTCTGGAAAGAGGGGAGGAAGCAGCCTTTTGAGCTGCTCTTTGGAAAAAGGGGGATCCGCAATGGAAACCAGTTTCGCTCCAGTGCTTCCTCCAGCAGTTCTTGGCTTGTAACCTCCATTGGGATTTTCTTTTCATGATCCTCTTCCTCTCTCTGCCCCTGACTCTGGGTAAATCATTATTCTACCAACAAAACAACAATGTATGTGCGTGACTCGCCAAACTCTGTCTCAGAGTAGGCTACTTCATACTGTATTACTGTACTTCATACTTCAAAATTCACAGTAGTAAAAGTACAATCCTCATATTATAATTCAACTAAGGATATACTATTAACAAAAGAAATAACAGACATAAAGAAAAGCATATGTGTCCAATTCTGGGCACCACAATTCAAGAGAGAGATTGACAAGTTGAAATGTGTCCAGAGGAGGGCGACTAAAATGATCAAGGGTCTGGAGAACAAGCCCTATGAGGAGCGGCTAAAGGAGCTGGGCATGTTTAGCCTGAAGAAGAGAAGGCTGAGAGGAGATATGATAGCCAAGTATAAATATGTGAGAGGAAGCCACAGGGAGGAGGGAGCAAGCTTGTTTTCTGCTTCCTTGGAGACTAGGACGCAGAACAATGGCTTCAAACTACAAGAGAGGAGATTCCATCTGAACATTAGGAAGAACTTCCTGACTGTGAGAGCCGTTCAGCAGTGGAACTCTCTGCCCCGGAGTGTGGTGGAGGCTCCTTCTTTGGAAGCTTTTAAACAGAGGCTGGGTGGCCATCTGTCAGGGGTGATTTGAATGCAATATTCCTGCTTCTCGGCAGAATGGGGTTGGACTGGATGGCCCATGAGGTCTCTTCCAACTCTTTGATTCGATAATTCTATGATTCTATATAGAAACAACCAGTCCTAATAAGTCCTGGAGCTGCAAAAGGTCTTGAGTCCAATACCATAACGGTTCGGGCCCTGCCTATCTCCACGATCGCATCTCCTTCTATGAACCGGTGCGAGCTCTAAGATCTTCTGGGGAGGCCCTCCTTTCGGTCCCACTACCGTCTCAAGTGCGGTTGGTGGGGACGAGAGAGAGGGCCTTCTCAGTGGTGGCCTCCATCTCTGGAACGCCCTTCCAAAGGAAATAAGACAGGCCCCATCCCTCCCCTCCTTTCGTAAGAGCTTGAAGACCTGGGGTTTTCAACAAGCCTCCTATCTACCTCCAATGGGTAATGAAAATGATTTCCTTAGAGAGTGGTAGACTGTCCATCTTAAGCAGAGGTTGGATGGGCATCTTTAAGGAGTGCTTTCATTGTGCATTCCTTCACTGGCATAGGGTTGGACTAGATGACCTTTGGGGCTCCTTTCTACCACCAATGAGTAATAGACTTCCTTGGAAAGTGGTAGACTGTCCATCTTAAGCAGAAGTTGGATGGACCTCTTTAAGGAGTGCTGTTGTTGAGTGCTCCTGCAATGGCATAGGGTTGGACCAGATGACCTCTGGGGTTCCCTTCTACTTCCAATGGGGTGAGCTGCCTTGGAGAGTGATAGACTGGCATATGGTGGACTAGATGGCCTCTGGAGCTCCTTTCCAACTTGAATAGGTAATGAACTTCCTTGGAGAGCGGTAGCCTGTCCATCTTAAGCCAAGGTTGGATGGACCTCTTTAAGGAGTGCTTTCTCTGAGTGTTCCTGCACTGGCATAGGGTTGGACTAGATGACCTTTGGGCTCCCATCTACCTCCAATGGGTAATGAACTTCCTTGGAGAGTGGTAAACTGTCCATCTTAAGCAGAAGTTGGATGGACCTCTTTAAGGAGTGCTTTCTCTGAGTGTTCCTGCACTGGCATAGGGTTGGACTAGATGACCTTTGGGACTCCTATCTACCTCCAATGGGTAATGAACTTCCTTGGAGAGTGGTAAACTGTGCGCTGGCATAGGGTTGGACTAGATGACCTTTGGGGTTCCCTTCTACCTCCAATGAGGTGAGCTGCCTTGGAGAGTGATAGACTAGCATATGGTGGACTAGATGGCCTCTGGAGCTCCTTTCCAACTTGAATAGGTAATGGGCTTCCTTGGAGAGTGGTAGACTGTCCATCTTAAGCAGAGGTTGGATGGATCTCTTTAAGGAGTGCTTTCGTTGAGCGTTCCTGCACTGGCATAGGGTTGGACTAGATGACCTTTGGGGCTCCCATCTACCTCCAATGGGTAATGAACTTCCTTGGAGAGTGGTAGACTGTCCATCTTAAGCAGAGGTTGGATGGGCGTCTTTAAGGAGTGCTTTCATTGTGCATTCCTGCATTGGCTTAGGATTGGACTAGATGACCTTTGGGGCTCCCATCTACCTCCAATGGGTAATGGACTTCCTTGGAGAGTGGTAGACTGTCCATCTTAAGCAGAGGTTGGCTGGACCTCTTTAAGGAGTGCTTTCCCTGAGTGTTCCTGCATTGGCATGGGGTTGGACTAGATGACCTCTGGGGTTCCTTTCCAACTAGAATGGGTAATTGAATTCCTTGGGGAGTGGGCCTCTTTAAGGAGTCCTTCTAGTGGACCTTCCTAAGCCAAAGGAGGAGAAAGGCAGCATTGAGATCCCATCCAATGCATCAGAGAGGAATGGCAAGGATTGGGAAGAGAAGGGAAGCCACAATCTTGGAGGAAAACAACACGAAATCTATAGAAAAAAATCCCCCCAATTCGACTTAATTGAGATTGCTAGGATCCAGGTCTCTCTTGAGGTTCTTCTGCCAAACAGTGATGGCCAAACTCTGGTCCTCCAGGTGAGTGGGAGCTCAGTTCCCAGCAGCCTGGACCACTTTCTGGATCCAGGTCTCTCTTGAGGTTCTTCTGCCCATCAGTGATGGTCAAACTCTGGTCCTCCGGGTGAGTGGGAGCTCAGTTCCCAGCAGCCTGGACCACTTCCTGGCAGCTGGAGAGCAAAACAGGGAGAGGGGCTGAATTGGGGGATGCTTGGCCCCCCAAAACATGGATCAGGGCTGCAGTGGAAGAGAGTTCCCACTCTTCTCCTTTAGTGTGAACTTCCTCAAAGGCTTTCCCTCCTGATCCGCCCCCACAGACAGCCCCCCTCCCCTTCTTTGCCTGCTTTCCCGTCTAATATCTCTCTCTCTCTCGCCCACGTCACGCCTCGGGAAGCCTCCTCCTCTTCCTCGCAGGGCCAGCTTTCCCCGCCGCAGAGAGAGAGAGAGAGGCTGAGAGCGAGACGGACGCCTTGGAGAGCCGGGATTGCCTTGGAAAGGTAGGGAAAATCCCCAACAGACTGCAAAAGACAAGGGAAGGAGGAGGGCATTTGGGGGGAGAGGGGGTCTCGAGGGGAGGAAAGCTGCTGGCCCATCTTGCAGTCTTAGGCGTTAGTCAGAGGGATCCAAGGTGGAAATCATTCACGTCTGGCTTCAAGGAGAGGTTTGGGAAGTCTCCAAAGATGCATTCCCTTTCCAAAACAGAGCTAGAAGGGTCCCTTAAGGGTCATCCATCCAATCCACTGGCATTGCAGGAACCTAAGTGGTACCTAGGATCTGAGGTGGCAATCATTCATGTCTGGAATGAGGAAGAGGTTTGGGAAGTCTTCAAAGACGCCTTCCCTTTCCAAAACAGAGCTAGAATGGTTCCCTAAAGGTCATCCATCCAACCCACGGAACCTAGGTGCTGCTTCACGTCTGGCTTGAGGAAGAGATTTGGGAAGTCTCCAAAGATGCCTTCCCTTTCCAAAACAGAGCTAGAAGGTTCCCCTAAAGGATCATCCATCCAACCCACTGGTATTGTAAAAACCGAAGCAGCACCTGGGATCCAAGGTGGCAATCATTCACGTCTGTCTTCAGGAAGGGATTTGGGAAGTCTCCAAAGATGCCTTTCCATTCCAAAACAGAGCTAGAAGGGTCCCCAAAGGGTCATCCATCTAACCCACTGGCATTGCAGAAACTGAAGCAGCACCTAGGTTCTGAGGTGGAAATCATTCATGTCTGGCTTGAGGAAGAAATTTGGGAAGTCTCCAAAGATGCCTTCCCATTCCAAAACAAAGCTGGAAGGGTCCGCTAAAGGATCATCCATCCCACCCACTGGCATTGCAGGAATGTAAGCAGCACCTGGGATCCAAGGTGACAATTATTTACATCTGTCTTGAGGAAGAGATTTGGGAAGTCTCCAAAGATACCTTCCCATTCCAAAACAGAGCTAGAAGGCTTCCCTAAAGGTCCTCCATCCAACCCACTGGTACTGCAGGAACTGAAGCAGCACCTGGGATCCGAGGTGGCAATGATTCATGTCTGGCTTGTGGAAGAGGTTTGGGAAGTCTCCAAAGATGCCTTCCCTTTCCAAAACAGAGTTACAAGGGTTCACTAAGGATCATCCATCCAACCCACTGGCACTGTAGAAACCTAAGCAGCACCTGTGATCCAAAGTGGCAATCATTCATGTCTGGCTTAAGGAAGCAATTTGGGAAGTGTCCAAAGATACCTTCCCTTTCCAAAACAGAGGTAGAAGGGTCCCCAAAGGGTCATCCATCTCACCCACTGGCATTGCATGAACCTAAGTGGTACCTAGGATCTGAGGTGGCAATCATTCATGTCTGGCTCAGAATCAATTTGGGAAGTCTCCAAAGATGCCTTCCCTTTCCAAAACAGAGCTAGAAGGGTTCCCTAAAGGTCATCCATCCAACCCACGGGCATTGTAGAAACCTAAACATCACCTGGGATCCAGGGTGGCAATCCTTCACATCTGGCTTGAGGAAGAGATTTGGGATGTTTCAAACGATGCCTTCCCTTTCCAAAATAGATCTAGAAGGGTCCCCTAAAGGGTCATCCATCGAACCCACTGGTATTGCAAAAACCAAAGCAGCACCTAGGTTCCAAGGTGGCAATCATTCATATCTGTCTTCAGGAAGGGATTTGGGAAGTCTCCAAAGTTGCCTTCCCTGTCCAAAACAGAGCTAGAAGGGTCCCCTAAGGGTCATACCTCAAACCCACTGGCATTGTAGGAACCTAATCAGCACGTTCTGCTTACAAAGCTCACCTTCTGTTTACAGAGCAGCATGAAAACCACCTCTTGGGTTGCTGAGGTTCAAGCTTTCCAACATATGGATTAGTATCATTCAGATATGGTCTGCTATGCTTGTTTCTGCCTCCTATATTTTGAGGGAATGTTTTTAAGGTGGAGAGGCATCACCTTCCCAAGAGCCTCCTTCTGACTTCCTGATTCTCCACCTAAAATACTCGTCATCCCATGAAAACATGGCAGATGCAATGAGGCAGAATGAAAACACAGCAGTGTTGAGGAAAGGAACAACAGCCAAACAAGTCAATGTGTTCTAGGTCAATGTTTCTCAACCTGGGGGTCGGGACCCCTGGGGGGAGGGTTGTGAGGGGGTGTCAGAAGGGTTGCCAAAGACTACCACAAAACACAGTATTTTCTGTTGGTCTTGGGGGTTCTGTGTGGGAAGCTTGGCCCAATTCTATCCTCGGTGGGGTACAAAATGCTTTTTGATTGTAGGTGAACTATAAATCCCAGCAACTACAATGCCCAAATGTCAAGGTCTATTTTCTCCAAACTCCAGCAGTGTTCACATTTCAGCGTATTGAGTATTCATTCCAAGTTTGGTCCAGATCCACCATTGCTTGAATCCACAGTGATCTGTGGACGTAGGTGAACTACAACTCCCAAACTCAAGGTCAATGGCCACCAAACCCTTCCAGTATTTTTTGTTGGTAATGGGAGTTCTGTGTGCCAAGTTTGGTTCAATTCTATTGCTGGAGGAGTTCAGAATGATCTTTGATCATAGGTGAACTATAAATCCCAGCAACTACAACTCCCAAATGACAAAATCAATCCCCCCCCATCCCTACTAGTAGTCTAATTTGTGCCAAATTTGATCCAGTGAATGAAAATACATCCTGCATATCATATATTTACATTATCATTCAGAACAGTAGCAAAATTACACTACAACATGAGGAACAGCCTTAAGGGGCTGCGGTATTAGGAATGTTGACAAATTCTGGTATAAATAAACCTCATAATAATAATGCTTTGCAGACTTGTCAAGGGAATTGTTATGTGCTTGCTGGTCGTTTCCAAATCATGTTGACTTGGATCGTGAGGTTTCTCAACAAGGCTTATTCTAACAGGGTTTGAGGCTGCTTTCCTCTAAGGATGAGAGAGTGTGACTTGTTTGGAGCCAGACTGTGAAGAGGATAACAGGGATCCCAGTCGTGATCTCCCTGAATCCTAGTGAAGCACTCTGCAAAGATGCCGGAAGGAGAACACACCCTTTCAATTAGTCTGTTCCCAACCAAGTCATAGTCATAGCAGAACATCTCAGGCATTGGATGTGGGGAACATTCACCTTCAGTCTTGCTGGGTTTGGGACCCATTGGATGCAAGTGTTGCATTTCCTGGAAACTTGCATTTGTGCCCATTGGATGCAAGTGTTGCTTTCCTGGAAACTTGGACAGCAACAGTTATATCCGGAAGCAGGGCTAGTCCACCGACTGCTCCTTTGAGAAGCACTGCTATTGTTTATGACTCCATATTAACCCTCATGTTGAACTCTGGAAACATTTTATAGCAGGCATGGTCCAACTTCGACCCTCCAGGTGTTTTGGACTTCAACTCCCACAATTCATAACATCCAGTAGGCTCGGACTGTGAGGAATTGTGGGAGTTGAAGTCTAAAACACCTGGAGGGCTGAAGTTTATTTATTTCAAGCATTCATATTCTGCTCTTCTTACCCGGAAGGGGACTCAGGGCGGAGAGCAATATAAATACGGCAAACATTCAATGCTGGAATAAAAGCAAACTATAAATATACACAAACATTAAAATCAGTTGTATCCACTTAAAATCAAATTGTTAAAAACCATCTCAAACCAGCCATACCGGGTTATTACCTTGTTCCACTGTCCCAAAGGCTTGATCCCACAGCCAAGTTTTTACCATCTTTGTGAAGGACAGGAGGGAGTGGGCTGATCTAATCTCACTTTGGAGGAAGTTCCAGAGCCGACGGGCAATTATGGAGAAAGCCATTTCTCTTGTCCCCACCAAGGATCTTAGTCTCCGCGATGGTTCGTATTTATTTATTATTTATTTACAGTATTTGTATACCGCTTTTCTCACCCCGAGGGGGACTCAAAGCGGTTTACACACAAGTAATGGCAAAATTCAATGCCAGTACAAACAATTACAATGATACACTACAATTAGATATAAATCAAGTTAAAACAATACATCCACAAGCAATAAAACAATCATTAAAACAATAAAACAATCTCGTCTGGCAAATCGCCGTTCCAATCATTGTCTTTCCGAAATGCTGCATACATTTACTTCTACTGCCCGAAGGCTCGGTCCCAAAGCCATGATTTTAATTTTTTTCTAAAAGCCAGGAGGGAGGGAGCGGATCTTACCTCATTTGGGAGTGTGTTCCATAGGCGGGGGGCCACAGCTGAGAAGGTCCTGTCTCTCGTCCCCGCCAGACGCATTTGTGCTGTTGATGGGAGTGAGAGCAGGGCCTCCTTGGATGATCTTAGATTACGAGGTGGGATGCATTCGGACAAGTAAGCTAGACCAGACCTGTATAGAGCTTTATAGGTCAAAACCAGCACATAGAAGGAGATGCATTCAGACAGGTAAACTGGGTTAGGATCATTTAAGGCTTTATAGGCCAAAGCCAGCACTTTGAATTGTGTTTGGTAGCAAACAGGGAGTCAGTGGAGCTGACACAACATGGGAGTTGTGTGCTCCCTGTAGATCACTCCAGTTATTAACCTGGCCGCCTCTCGTTGGACTATTTGAAGCTTCCAAACAGTCTTCAAAGGCAACCTCATGTAGAGTGCGGTGCAGTAGTCTATCCTGGATGTAACAAGAGCGTGGACCACTGTGGCCAAGTCTAACTTCCCAAGGTACAGGCGCAGCTGGCACACAAGTTTTAATTGGGTGTCCTCCTAGATTCAGCGCTAACGCTTGAAGCACAGGCGTTGGCGTTGGCTGGGAGGGCCTTTGCACAATTGAAGCTCATGCGCCAGCTGTGACCATACCTTGTGAAGTCAGATTTGGCCATAGTAGTCCACGCCTTAGTTACCTCTAGATTGGACTATTGCAATGCTCTCTATGTGGTGCTGCCCGGAAATTCCAACTGGTCCAACAATTGGCAGCTAGATTACTAAATGGTGCGAATTATAGAGAGTGGTCAACCCTCCTGTTTAAGGAGCTCCATTGGCTGCCATTTATTTTCTGGTCCCAATACA